TGCTGAAATAATCAGACACAGACTTTGTCCTTATGGAACTCACAGTACTAGATGAGAGGCCAACAATAGGCAGAACCACATAAGTAAACTGACCACTGAGATCAGTGTTGTGAAAGGGTACCCAGTGCTGTGAGAGCTTATTATAAGGAGATTTGTCCTATTCTGACGGTGGGCATCATGGAAGACTTCCCCCAAGTGACGCTTGAACTGAGATCTTCAGGAAGACACTGAAGTATTTGTTGGGAAGAGCTTGGGAAAGAACAATCCAAGAAAAGGGAACAACAAATTCAAAAACCTTGAGGCAAGAAAGAAACAATGTATTTTTTATAATAAATTTTATTAATTGTCAGGAAATCTGTGTTTGATGCGTGGATCTGGGGAAATTCCGCTGATGTAAACTAAGACATGTACTGTGCAAAATAATCTTTATTTGAGACAATTACTGAACTTTAAATTGTATTTAGATATGAAACCTTAGGAACCATAACATATATAGCAAACACTTACCAAATAAATTCTTGCTGGTGTTGAGATAAGGAAGAGTAAAAGTGCAAGGAGTTGAGCCCAGAGAGATGGGAGGAGCTGGATCAAGCACAGCTTTGGAGCAGTTGGGAGATTTTCCCAAGAGCAATCAAAAGTAGCCGCTACAAGGTTAATAAGAAGGGAAGTAACAATGATAGGTTTTATGTTTGCAAAGTAGAGGGAACGCTATAGGAAGAATAGTTGGTGGGGAGCAGGTAGGAAGCCATGGTAGTGGTCCAGCAGAAAAGGCTGAGGATGGTGATGATGGTGATGATGGTGATGATGGGGAGAAGAGACATAGCATATTATGTTTCATTCAGCTGGTGGTGGGTGCTCACCTAGCCCCTCCTCCTCCTGTCCTGGGACCAGACCCTTGGGCTTGTTCTCCCCTCCTCATCCCAAAAGGGCAATGAGGGTTACTCAAGCCCCTGGGTTTACTAGTATGTGCCTTCTGGGTCCTCAGTGGCCACTGCTTCCCGCTGTTGATCTTGGCTCCTAAAGACGTCTTTTTCTTCAGTGAGTGGGTCTGAAGAATGATGGAGCCCTCACTAATCTGCCCCTGCTCCTGCTTGCTGAAGAGGGCACTTGGCCGAAGAGACTGGTGTTACTCTACTGTGCTTGTCCTACTTGCGTTCACTGTCCAGGCTGAGGAAAGCTGAAGGATTACTGCTCCCGTGGCTCCCTGCTCCCCCCTTGCCCCAAAACAAATGAAGGGAAAGCTGGAACTTTTCTTTCACAAGGAGACACATTTTTCTGTCTTTGTGATAGGGAGGGAATATATTTTTTAAACGCCTTTTCTGGTGATAACAGAAATATAATCTTATCAGAGAAAATTGAAAAGTACAAGAATATATAAGGAAGACTAACCAGTATTCATAATACTACCCTGAATTTTTGCATAGTTTTTAGTCATACCTACTTATTTTTAAATAGGTCATACATACTGAATATACTTTTGTGTATCTCACTCTTTTCACTTTGTGGTTTAAGCATTTCCCTATGTCATTAAAATCTCTCCACACACAATTTTTAATCTGCAAAGTAGTCTTTTTTGAAAACAATATTTTGCATAATGTTTTCCTATTTGGGTTGTGTGTAACTTTTACCATTATAGAGAGGTCTGTGATGAGTCTTTGTTTATAAATCTCTTCCTTCATTTTGGGTGGCCTCTCCCCCTCTGAATATCTAGAAGGGGGATTAGTAAGGGGAGTTGTGTAGACCTGACAGGAAAGAAAATCTCTATGTAGGATAATTCCCACCAAACGGTAACTCTGCTCCTGTTAGTGGAAAGATAAAAGATAGGGGCTGGTGTTTTCCACTCTGTAAGACCCTATGCTCCCCACCTCACTTCATTGTTCACCGAGCGGTGGCTACTAGGTGTCTGTGTTAGGAATTATCTCTTTTCTTCAGAGACCTGCGGGATTGTGAGCTTGAGAGGCAACTAAGACTGGATTTCATCCATTTCTCTTCGTCTTGTGGTGCAGCAGAAAGCCCTCCATGCCTGTGCTGCCATAGAACCAGCTAAGTAACCTTGAGCATTGCCATTTTTTTTTCTTAGGGGCCAGTTTCTTCATATGTACAACAAGGGAGAGGAGTGTTTGGGTGTGACCAGATTTTGTTATTGTTGATACTTAAGCAGCAGAACCCTTATTTCAAATTAAAAACCTTACAAGAACCCCAATCTGTAAAACAGATTAAGGAGCAGTTCAGTTGTCCTGGTAGAGGTGTGTAAAGAAGTGTGTGTGTGTGTGTGCACGCACGTGCTCTGGTTTGAAAACTCAGGCCTAGAGGATAGAAGTTTCACCCCAGTTCAGTTCATTTCCCTTCCCGATTGCTAAAGTTTTTTTGAAAAATTGTCTTTCATCTATATTTAAATCCTCCAAATGTGCTGATTGATGAAATCTTTTCTCTTACAGACAATTTGGAAATCAGACAAAGTGGAGCACAAAGCCATGGATGTTTAGAGAGGGAGTGAGCAGTATGTGAGACCGCTGAAAGGGTGACCCTGGCACTTCTAAGAAGGCAACCACACAATGGACTCTTCCAAAGAAGCAGTGTCAGTTTATCCCCGGTTGCCACCGCCCCCTCAGTGGGTCGGAATTGCTTGTTTTCACCCTCCCTTTCCTGGAGTCATTTCAAACCAAACTTGTGTCCACAATTGCTAGAAATTTGAACCCAGAGTAACCTACAAACAGGTACTTTATTGAGACCCAAACACTGTGAAAGATGAATAGGGGAGTGAATATGACAAGAGAGTTTCCTCCAGACCCTGGGACACTGGAATACCGGGAGGAGGTTGAGGCTCAGCATCCTGACAGTCTGTTCAGTTAGCTCCAATCTAGGCAGCACAGACCAGCCTGGAGGGACCGAGGTCTGTGGGAAAAGAGGGAGTAGAGCAGAGGCCTTGCCTGAGCTCAGCAGGGACACAGCAGGCCAGGAAGGAGCTTTGGGGTGGAGGGCAATGGGCTGTAATCTGTAATTCACCGACAGGAGCCCTCCCACCCCTTGCTGCACAGTGTGAGGTGGGGTGCTATAGGTGAGGGGAAGAAGGTGCCAGTGTCCTCTGAGGAGGGATGGCGCTACTTTTCCTGGGAGACCAGACTTCGGACTTCTCTCGTAGAGGCATAGTAAGCTTGGTCTTCAGGATCCTCAGTGATGTGTAAAAAGCTGGAACGACCCCTGAAGTTGTTGAAAGCCCCTACCCCTCCCCCTGAAACCCGCCCCAGCCAGCAGGTGAAAGGCTGGCCCGCACAAAGAAGCCGGTTGAAAATGTGGAATTCGAACCAATTTACGGGAGATTCTGTCGCCCAGATTCCCAGCAGACCTCAAGCAAACAAACCTGTGGCCAGAAATAGATGAGGTTAGAAACAGTGCACCAGGCCAAGCTTATTGGAAAGTCCTAGTTTAGTTATATTGGGATAGCGAAGTAACAGGATTAAAGGGATTAAGGAAATCACCTCAAACAGCTGAGAAGGCAGTAAAAAAACACTGGTTCTATTTGTTTTCTTCCTAGACTCCATACAGATACACTGGGGCCGTGTGGCCAGAGCGAAACGAAAGGGCTTTCAGGGGACACAGCGGCATGGCCAAGGGTCAGGGATTGGGGGAAGTCGGTGGGGGAGGAGTAGAAAGTGGGCTCCAGGTTTGGAATGAGAGGGAGCCTCTTTTAGAAAATAAGTATGTGGACTGGGTTGACAAGTCAAAAAGAAAAAGCCATTCAGAGTTTTAGAGATCCTTTAGGTCGTTTTTTTTTTTTTTTTTGAGAGATCTAACATGCACTTTGAAAAACCAAACCTTATGTTCTTTGAATGCTGGTTCTCCAGCTTCTGCCACCACGGTTGAAATATATTTATTTCCTCATAGGGATTCCTGTAATCTATTTCTAATAAGATAATTGAGATTTCTGAAGGGTTTTCGTTTTCAGCTTGGCTCTAGTGTCTTCCCGCCCCAGTGCACAAAGGTAAAGGTACCCCTTTTTTTGCTGGTTCCATTGGCCTCTCAGAGCTATCAACAAGTGCGTGGCCGCGGGAGGTTCGCTTTAGACAAACTACTTTCTCCTCAGAGTTTCAGTTGAAAATATTGGCAGCCGCTGTGTTTTGGTTTACCAGTAGTTAAAAAATAAACCACTTCAGATCACTCATCGTCCCCCAGGTGCCTCCCACCCCCAGGACAGGACCACGGTTGTAATATCCACCCCGCACCTAAAGTTTCAGGCTCACAAAATTGTCAGGACTCCATTATGTTGGTTATAAAATTTATTGATCTCTCGTTTAAGAATTAAGAGTAAACCCTTGAAAAACATGAAACAAAATAGCCCCTTCCCCACAACACAAACGAAATCTGAAAACATTATCGCGACAAAGTATCAAATATTGATCACGGCAGAAATCACAACGCAACAAACTAAATGCGGACTGGACAAGCTGTGCTGTGGCCAAGGACTGCGATGCGGGAGACACACGCACACCTGGCTATAAATTAACATTGGATTTAGCTGCCGCGCCCCTCCGCGTGGTCAGCCCCCCAAAACCCATGAGAAAAACGGATGCAACGCGACTGGAGGAGGGGAGGTTGCAGGTTTCAGGTCAGCTTCACCCGCGAGTACGAGTACAGTTTCTCCCACTCACTCACTCCAAGACTAACAGCAAACTAAGGAGACAACATTTTCAAATGCAACCGGAAAACCCGGGAACCCCGGAGGATGAGGTGGGGGCTGCTTTTTCTTTGCGAACATCACAGCGATTCCAGCCTACAAAAGGGGAGGAAAGGACAGTCGAGCTCTAGAAAGTCCTAGCTTAGCTGCTCCGGACTTCTTTTGCTTTTGTACAAAACCGGACAGCTATGGCAAAACTTTCTGTCCTCCCCTTCACAGGTACAAGGCAACAGACCCAGGCAAGCAAAGCTAAACAACAAGGCGTCCCAACTCGGGGGGTGCGGGGTGGGGTGGGGGTGCAGGGTCGGCGAGCGCAGGGCGGCGCTCAGATGTGGGTCAGCGGCACGGTTCCGTTGACGGCAGTCCCCGCGCCCTGGTAGTGCTGGTGTACGGTGTGCAGGCGGCCGCCTGGCAGCGGCGAAGCAGCGTCAGCCGCGTCCCCGCCGGGTGGCAGGTACATGCTTATCATGTCGCGCAGGTCTCCGAGGCACG